AGCGATCGAATGATTCGTTGAGAAATGAACTGGTATGATTTTTCTATGTAGCTATTTCTATATTTTTTCAACTCATATTTTGTTAAATGATTCAAATGCAATAATAGATCTTCAAAATATTTTTGTTTCGTTAAAAAATATGTCATATTTTTTTCAATCATATCCATATCTGTTATAAATTTGAGTATTCAAACCAAATGTGTTACTCTAATACCAATTACTCAATTTTCCATATATATAACTCACATATTTCTCAGTATTTTCTCGTTTACATACATGGTGTTTATTGAACATGCAACTGTTCCTTAAACTATTGTAACAATATTTTGCCCTATAAAATATCATCAAAAGACAAAATATCCTTTGAATAATCCAAGGAATGGCCCCTTGAATAAAAGGAAGTAAGTATCTTTAGTTTGTTAAACTTTTTTTTTGAAGAATTCAAGGGGCTACATCATCATTTATGGTGAAATGAGTACCTAATTAGATGAGATAACAGATCAGTCTAAGTGATGATTTGAGTTTTATTATAGCCTTGTTTCCCACATCAATAGCAGCTCCGAAACACATTTCTGAAAGTTTCAACAAATCTGCAAGGGCCGACTCACAATAAGATTATTAGGGCTACTTTACAATTTCGGTGAAAAACTGTTCGATATCACTGGCAACAGTCTTCAGAACATATTAAGAACACTATACAACCAACTGACTACTCTTTTGAAACCGATGACTCCTAATATAAAGTCCGTTGAGTATTCAAAGACTCCCACTCATAGCGAGGCAATAATAAATATACAACTTGTAACATGTTTGTTGTGTATACTCATATTGATCTATAATTGTGGTGGGAAACATCTAAACCAGAAAAATCTGTCGAAAATTGTACTTCTGAATGAAAAGGAATGATAGTGAATAGCATATAAAAATATATTTTTAGCAAAATAGTATGAGCTGGGATTTGAAACATGACGGCTTCAATAATTAGGCATAGAAAATCAAACAATTCATTCGATTTATTGTTCTAGGTTGATTTGAAAGTGCATTCAGATCTGAAATAATACGTTATTTTTCTAATTTGAACAATTTGCAACGATTCATATTGCTTTGTAATGAAATATACAACGGTTACTACTCCTTTGGTACTATCTAGCTGTATATAATGCAGAGTGTCGCGATTTCACCCAACTCTATTGCAAATATTTTTTAGTTTTCATTTTCAACATCATTCATAGGTGGTTATTCTCACAGACTTATATGCAGTTGATTTTCGGAATCGATTTTTTGTATTCAATTGTTTCGAAAATCCGCTGGAGAAGCGTGTGCTGAATCATAATAAACAGAAGCATGTTTTTGCAGTTTCTGCAGTTGTCGTATTTCTTATAAAATTGGTGTCGTGTTCCTTCATCTATTCAGAGGTCATTCCAGAACATCAGCCAGTCCATCAGGCCGCAGGAGACTATACGTCCCAACAGAGAAACCTAATTTCAAGGTTACATTCCAAAGGCCCCATTCGATTGATATAACCACATATTTAGTCACCAGCCGACATTTCTCTCCTGAGTTTGTCGAGGGGAAAATTGTGGACGATTCCGATTTTCTATCTCTATTTTTCGAGATTTTCTTGCTTAGCAAGTTACAGTTCTTTCATATAAAAACCTCTTTAGCAGTCAACTAAAATTCTTTCAAAACTAATTACTTCTTCCTAATCTTCCATTTGAAAATCAGTTTTCAGACACCAGAGAAATGAACAAACAACAAATAGGTTCGAAGTTTTTTTGCATCAAATGTGAACGGTGAGACTATTTGCAAGTGAATGTACGTCCATCAGTTGAGTATACTCATCTTTATGATTTGATTCTATAGCGTTCATCAAGATTGCTTGATGAATCTCCCATAGAACTATAGAACCCATAGAACCAAGGATTTATTGGTGGTTACTAAAAGCTTCTAAAGGACCAAATATATTATAACGTGTTATTCACCATATTCCTGAATTATCAATTCGAATCTTTTCATCTTTATGACCTTCATCAAACTCAGATGAATTGTTGGATGATACTATCCGATACTTTATGAAAAGCCATATCAAAACTAATAAGTTCATTGTGAGCTTTCTCACTATGAAGGTTTACAAAGCGGTGAGACGTGTTTCGCTCTACAATATCTTTAACAATCAGGACTGCCTGAGGAATTGAGAAATATTTGTTGTGATATCATGAATCTTTATGGAGAAAATCTAATACTGAACTGGAGAAGTAGAATTCATTTTATTTCTTGGAGAAACTTGTATTGTTCAGAAAACTATTCATGATTCAGAACAAGTATTCCCAATTTATCATGACAAAAGACCTTCTGCATAACGTTTGTTATTTGTCATCCAATTCATTTATGAAATTATGAATTTCCAAGCTCAAATACCCTCATGCATATTGATGAACATAGTTTTTTTCCTCCTTCTTTTTGTGGGAATGATTCCCAGCATAGGATTTTTGTTTCATCCTTCAAATCATATTTTCTATTGTTTCAGTTTTTTCTCATTCACCTTATTGCTTTTTTTATTTTGAGACTCATTCCATTCATTTAATTCTTTTGCTTCACTACTTTCTACGTTATCTGCCAGCTTATTCTTCATTTGAGGTGCTGTTATACGATTTGAATATTTCATTTTTTTTTCATTATATTTTTCAGGACAACTTTCTTATTCTTCATATATTCTTCATTCTTATGAAAATCTGGTCGACCCAGTCTTATTGATTGATTGCTTTTTTTAAATTTTTGATTACTTTCAACTACAATTTCCATACCAGTCCCAGATTTTATAGTACTTATTGTTGTACAAAGGTGAAGTTTTGTAGGTTTCAGATATAGAAGTTACTAGAATTCATGCTAGAAACTATTGTCGTTTCAGTAATGATTCAGAATAAATTTTTGTTCATGTCGTCACAAATAAGTTTCACGAGTATCTTATGAGTATTCAGTATTAGAGAAAAAATAAATGATAATTTCTGTGATACAAACAGCATCTCCTTGAAAATGACATTCGAATATTTATGAAGTTTTCCAAAATTATTATTTCATCATATAATTTGTAATATGCGTCTTGATATAAAGAAGACAGGCGACAGAATTGAATTGAGTGGAAAAATAATGAAACAGGACAAACTTAATATCATAAACAAGAATTCCTTGGCGTTTTTCCATGCGATAAGTACAAAAGAATCGTAAGATACAAAAAGCCCATCTTATTCTTACTCGAGGCTATCTACAATCCTAACACAAATCCTTAGAAATCCGCTAGACTCGCAGACATCGTACACAAATCTATTACAAAAAGGATCTCCTTGAAAGATACGGTAACAAAAATTTCGGCCTTCAGCGCTCTCGATGAATCACTACTATCAATATAAGGCACATCCAAGATACATATAAACCTCTGATATGTCGACTCGTATATCTAGAATCACAGTCGAAAAGGATCGATACACGGGATATACCAAGAAATTTAAGATGATAGAAAAAAACCAAAACAAAACTGGATGGCATAAAATATTTCTACCAAATCATATTTGTAAATTTTTTTGAACTAAATGTGAAGCATTATATAACCATTCATGGATTCAGAAAAAAACATTGAAAATTGTTGTCATTTCATTCGACATAACGCATCTTTTTTGGATATATACATGTCACTATAACTGATGAATATCATATTGAAAATGGTTTTCAGTGAAATCTGTTGAAAATATTAATTATAAGTCATGAAAGTTCTTGTGAACTGTTACAAAAATTTTAAAATCCATTGATCTATAGATTTACTATCGAAATCATTGGAGGGCATTATGCCTCTAAGTGTAGAGGTGTTATCGCTTTCAAGTTTATTGCAACAATTAAGATAAAATAAATTGAAATCATGTGGTTACCGAAATTCGAATAAATACACTCAAAACATATTGCAATATACTCAAAACCTATTTCATGTTCAGGTATTGATAATAAGAAAGTAAACACAACCCATAGCAATTTTTCTTCGATGGTATCCTTTAAAAAACTGTGAATAATTTAGATGGCAATATTATTCATAAACGCCTTGTTTTGTATGTTACAACATTAGTTGTCAGTATTTTAATTTAAGTTTAAGTTCGTTAATTTCAAGTCTGACAAATGGATACATGCATAAAATAACAGTTTTATAAATCTTTGGTTACAGAGATAAAATCCGAACACAACAGGAATTAGCTCGCCTATTTCATGAGAAATTTCCTAATTTACCGCCCTTATCTCATGAAACAATAAGCAAAATAGAGGAGCAGTTTCGCGAGCTTGGTCATGTGGGGCAGGTAAAAAAAGCAGCTACCAGTGCAATGTGATGATTGAGTTTGAGGAAAACATACATACATCGGGTAGACAGGCATCCACTACATTCAGTGTCAGCCATACATCGATAGTAAATATATTAAAAGAAAATAAAATGCATCCCTATAAAATGATACCTGCTCATGAAAGACTATTTTGGTAGAATAACTCATTTTTGTGAGCAAATGATGGACATGTTGGATAACAATATCATCCAATTAAAAACGGTTATGTTTTCTGATTAGTGTACTTTGCCTCTTAACGGTCATGCTAATCGGCAACATTTCTCAGTCGGTGGATAGGGAGGCGATGATTGGAATTATTTTTATGGGGATATGTACAGAGCATTGTGTACAAAACTTAACCTTCAGATTTGAATGACTCAAAAAAACAAATAATGATTGCGATTAGGTCGGTCATGCCTGATATGTTGAGAAATGTTAGAAGACAGTTTAATTTATTTTACCTTAATTGTTGCAATAAACTTGAAAGCGATAACATTTATGAATGGAGAATGAAGATTTAAAAATGAAAATTTTAAAATAGACACACTTTCCTCCCCAAACCATTTCTTGTTCTAGGAAGATTTTGAGATTCATCACATATCGTGAATATTTTTGGTAATAATTATCTATTAGAATAATAACAATAAGTTCTTGAGTTATTCGTTTTGGTAATATTTTTACCGTGGCGAGGATTCTGGCATTTCCCAAATTTCATTTTTAGCATCTCTGTTGGTAATTTCTGTTGGGTGTATCTGAGTTTAATCAGCTGAATATTCTATTATACTCTCAATAAGACACTTGTCTTTCAGTCTGTCCTATATTATTTCAGAAACACCTATCGTATGAACATATACATATTTGCAGACAAATATAGGATCATCTTTCCATTTCATTAATGTAATTTGTTCTGAATGTCAAAAAACAAACTAAGTAAAATGCGAAAGAAAACATCAAATGGCATTCATCATACTGTTGAATGAGATCAACATTTCATATAGCACTGAATTGGGACAAGATGTTCTTCGTGGTCACCAAATTTGAGTCTCCTTGATTTTTTAGCTACTGTGAAGCTGAATATCTGTAGACCTGCATTTCTCCATTTCTGAAAGATATGCCTAAATAAATTGTCGGCGATTGTAGTACGCGAGCATCTCAACGTACTTCATGCCCCTCAAAAATGTTGGGGTGATTGTCAGAGGGTAGCAGAGTCAAAACTATCGAAGAAGAGTACCCTCCTCTGATAGAAAAATAACTATTTGCATTTTCCCGAATTGTAGACGTAGTTTTTGATGACGGTTCTGTTTCATTTTCTTTCGACTAGCCTGTATAGTGAGATACAGCTGAAAAATAATAGTTCCAATCATTGTGAAGAGGGGTATACACTCATTGCTATTACTAAATTTCAAAACTGTGATACAAGTAAATAACTTTGGTCGACCTCGAAGACGAAAAAAGTCATACAGATATTCAACTGTGATAGTGTGAAGTTTTGAAAGAGAATATAAATTAGGAATCGATCAAAGAGAATCATTCTTCTGATTCTGAAGAATTCCAGTCAGTTGTGATTTAATTCAATAAATACATCTTTTCTGACCCAAAATGAAATTTGTCGACATTCAAAAATGCAAAACCTATGGACTCTGTATCAATTTTTTTATCAACAGTTAATGAAGTCATCCATCACTTCTGTATATTTCTCGATTGATTCTTGTATATTATATAATTGGACTTCAAATAATGTGATTGATCTCGCTAGTTATAGGTTTATAGGGTGACTATAGTCATCTATAGTCATCTATAGTCACCCTTGGTATAGATGACTATAGTCACCCTTGGTACAAATTTTAATTTTTATTGGAATTTTGTTGTCGATATCAGCAAAATTTTTCACTTAAATCTGAAGGTGAAAGAACAGTAGTTCATATTTTCGAATTCGATATATGTCTTCATATTTATTTTAAAAAATCGTTATATAGCTAACTTGCTGAGCGAAAACATTAATTATTTTTCAATTTTTTCACCTCAAAATATATTTTATTTAAATGGAGTATGTATGCTTATATAACTGAATTATTCGTGTCAGTGAATAGAGTCAACGATATATAGGAACTTTAAATTCAACTGAAATTACTTTTCAAGACATATGTCGCCCTCTATTGAGGATCATACGGAAACAAAATAGTTTCCCTGCATCGACAACTTTCTTCAAGCGCGTCGCGCCAGAGGTTTATACACATCTTGGGCACATCAATTGTCATAACCGCATCTTTGGTATATCCCCTTGACAGCTCAACAGCTTTTAATAGTCAGCCTTATGTTTTTCCCACATTTAGCACATGAATGTCAGTGAAGATAGGAAAGTTTCAGATTAGAGTACACGATTCAGCTAAAAAACTAGGCCCCCTGTTGCTCGTAGACGCCAATTTCCTCGATTGGTCTCCAATTTGCGCTATAATTTATTGACTTTTCGTTTGGATCGGTTCAATTGACTTCATGCCTCGCACTGGCCTATGTTGTGTCCCGCATCAGAGTGGTTTATCAGCTGCAGGTGGTAGTCTGTGTTGATGACTAGGTCGGCCACGCAACCCCTGATTCCAGTCCTGTATCTCGTGAAGGTCTGCAGGTCGACCTGCGGCATGCCGCCGATGTAGAGGCCTTCGTCTTCGGGGCGAGATGGAGATCTTTGGACGATTTCTACTGATTGTCTAGTGACAGCAGGCCCATTGTCCACTATCAAGAGAGCCGATAGTCCATCTCTGGAAAAAGAGTATGGTTCACTTATTATGTTTCGAGGATCCAACAAAATAACTGTGTTTATCTATTAGTGAATAAGCTTGAATTTTTACTAATTTATTAATAACATTTGTGGTCTACAAAGGACATTTTCCAACCTACTGATAAATATTACTGTGTAAGCCTTCAACCTCACCACTTCAGCAATTCTCACTTAAAAAAATCAATCTGCGAGCCTTCATACGAAGTTGACGGAAATAACGATGAAAATTATTGAAAAATGTAAAAATACCTCAAATTTATTTATGAAAACAAATTTGGGCCAATTTTTCAAATGTATATAGAGATCAAGTGAAAAAATTTTTCTAATAGTGCTTCGTATCTGAAAATTGGTTCAATTGTTTGAAAAATATGGAGCTCTGAAATGTCAACAATACGTTTTCCAAAATATGAAACAGTTTAATCGATTCAAAATGACAATGTGTCCCGTTGATTTGAATGTTGAAGAGAATTGATTTTGATAGAATTTGCTGTTTTTTCGTTCAGCGAGTAGGCATAATTCTTGTGAATTATGGTATCTCAAGTAACATAAGGATGGTTAATAAATATACATCACTGCTCGGAAGGATATCCAGCAAACATTTATTTCAATTAACTGGATATCCACCGAATTTCCGATGGATATATATTGGAAACACTTTTTGACATTCCACATATACAATAGACGTTCAAAAATGTCAATCAGATATCCAAAGGCTATCTATCAATTGAAATATGGAGTGAAAAAGACATTCAAATATACTCGTACTTGAGTTGATATCTAGTGGATATCTATCTATTGCAATAAAGAAATCCACTGAATGTTCAAAAACGTGAACACTTTACTCCAACATAAAGCCGGAATTACATTATTATGTTGTGGTGTGTTGTGATGCTCTCTGATGTGACGGCGAGTATGTAGACTATTCGGTCGTGTCGGGGCGCGCTCTGACGCTCTGACGTTATTTCGAGTCAATACAGTGGTGGCCTTTGGAGCATCTACAAGGTTCTCATCCAGTAGATAATCTCAGAGGTAGTCGAAGCGAATATCATTTACTAGTGATGAAAAAAAAATCATCAATATTTCAGGATGTCAAAGAATCAATTTGAGATATTACATTCTATGGTAGAAAATGATATTAAAAAAATGCAAACCCGTATTTTCTAACAAGTTCAATAATTTCGTCCGACATCTTGTACACAAATGAATGCAAACAATTATTCTCTAGCTAATCTACGCGTCAGATTAGGAACATACTATTGTAGAGTGTTCTGACGCGACATAACCCCACCATCGTTCTGACGCCGATCGGAAATCGACCGATCGTCGTCACCACATATCGTGTCCCAACACACTGCACTTTGGTGATATAATTCTAAACATACTAAATGTATGGATACGTTATACTTGTGGTGCGTCACGACACACCACGACACATTAATATAATTCCGGCTCAACACTGCTCAAACACACCAGAACTGCAATAGCCATCTCAAGTTGTTATGAGGGTGATGAATGACCATACTAGCTAGTAAGTTCGAAAACTTGATAACAAATATCGACAACGCAGTTGATGAAACGCTCCTCGATGAGGAGGTTGCAGTTCTTGTGCGTGCGGGAGCAGTTTTTCTCTTGGAACAATGTCTACGTCATGGGTCCGGTTCTATCTTACCTCCCTGCGTAGTGATTTCTATTCTTCCTAAAAACTAACAAATATAAAGTTTGAAGCCATTTTAAAATTTCACTTTTGCACTCGTAAAACTGTTAAATATATTGTTTTTGTTTCGAAGATATATATTTTTACTGCAAATGAAATTTTATTGACGAATATATAGTTTATTATTAGCAAAATTATTAGCAAAATCCATTAGTAATTGGACCTTCTGGTCATAGCACAGTGTACTTTCAACAAAGGTTTCCGGTTCAGCAGTCCAAATCCTATCCTCATTAGTCGTAGGGGACTGCTGGGGAACTGAACACTGAATCAGAGCAAAATTTAAGCTCGCCACTCATTTATAAATATTTTCGGAAAAATTATTATTTATACAAAAATTCACTCTGTAAACATATTGATTTTCTAGTTGCAAACTTAACTTAATTGGTTCTGAATAATATAATGTTATAATATCAATGTACTTTTCAGCTGTACATATCACTATATATGCGGTATTTCATATTTTCAACTCATCTAATTTCAGTATCCCGGAATTCTATCATATAAAATGGCGTCGTTCTATAAAATAATTTGGTATCAGTAGCAAGCATTTCAACGTATTTCAGCTACTCTGTTACGCTAGTTGCACACACACCGATTTTGGACGGCCAGTATAAAATCGGCCGATATTTTATTGGTAGCGGGTGCTTGCACACTCACCGGATTTTTATCGGTCAAACAATCAGTTGCTTTGTTGTCGTAATTAGCATGCACTACCAAAACGAAGTTAATGCGTAGTAACTACAATTTCATATACCATTCGAGTCTGGAATGGTCGGTAAAAAACGCTAGTTGCACGCACGTAACACACACACTAGCGTAACGCTAGTTGCACACACACCGATTTTGGACGGCCGACTTTATACCGGTCGTCCAAATTCCAATAGTGATCCACATGTGGGAACGGGACCAGGCACACACGCCAACCAGTGATCGTCGCCGGTAAAATACCGGTGAGCAGCCGTTCACTGCCACAGTATCGCCGGCAGTACCGGAAAGTAGTGGCGTACGTGAATAAATACACTCTTGCATACTCACCGGTTTTTTACCGACCATTCCAGTCTCGAATGCTCGGTGAAATTGTAGTTACTACGCATTAACTTCGTTTTGGTAGTGCGTACTAATTACGGTGACCGCTGAAAATCCGGTGAGTCTGCAAGCACCCGCTACCAATAAAATATCGGCCAGAATGTAATGTAATTGATGGGGGAGATTCAGCGATACTTCTAAAGGTTCTCAGTTGGACTGGAATTCGGAAGGGAAAGATGGAAAATTACTTCAACCTGCAGTTTGCAATCACCACAAAATGTGGTTCATCTGAAACGCAATACATGAAAGTAGTACAATGTTACAGTCAGGATTTCATCGAAGGTGGCATAGTCTAAAGTAAATTAATATACAGGGTGGTCCATTAGTGAGAGGCAGTACAGTATCTTGCCTATAATGGGGAGTATTAAAACATTTTTCAGGTTAAAGTTATATGGTTTACTTTGTTGCTTATTTCAAAAATATTTTGAAATATACAGTGTGTTCCTTTGAAGCAGGGCAATACAAATCATCATTTTTTTTCAATAGACCCCCCTGTAAATTTTTTCACCGTTAAACTGAACAAAATGTTTAACATGAGAAAGTATTTTCTTTTTTTTTGAAAATTTTGTGGCATTGTCAAGTTATTGCTGGAAGAATGAAAATCTTCGAAAAAACAGACAACCGTAATATAAATAGAATTCAAACAGAAATATTTGAGACATGCAATACCAAGAGTGAGATGAAATGTCGATATGGGCTGAAAATAACATTTCTCAAACAGGAGATTTTATACAGAGGCATCAACTTGACAAAACAGATTTTGTGAAATTTGCAATTCTATTTTATTTCGACTGAAACTGCGTATTTATCACTTTGATATTTACAAAATTGAAGAACTGAGTTTCACATATAGACAAGGGTCGATAATTTTTGAAACCAAAAAAAATAACAGTGTGATGAAACCCATTAGGAAAGGACTGGAATACGATAAAATGAAAGGAAATAATAAATTACCGGCGATCTGAGTTCGAAAAGTGGAAGGAGGCGAGTTTTCAAGGGTGAAAAATGGTTTATCTATGAAATAGTTTTATAACTATCATGAAAATCTCGCAGAAAAGTGCTATGAAACTGGTACATAACAATTTAGTTTTATTGGAAAATAAGTTTTATGAGTTAGTTGTGAAAACGTTCTCGTGATAATTTCCTGACTAGTTTATAACTGTTTTTTAATTGTATTTCATAAACACTTTTATTGCCTACAACTGCATTGTGTTCATGGGTCCACTAATACAATCAATTAGCATTTTGGAAGTAATTATAAAATACTAATAAAATGAAACTGTTGCAGCATCATGAAATTATAAAACAACTTTGCTGGTTGGGAAGTGATATGTATCTAGATTTTCTCCAGGAGACCTACGAACCTACGATTCTGTAGGTTCACATAAGAAGCTAGGGTGAGGCGATTTTACCTTTACTGGAGCATAACTCTCCGGATATGTTCTAACATTCTGACTCCCACCCCGGAGTATGTGTTTGTGTCGCTGCTTCCAGATTTTGTCTGTAGTTGGCGCAATAGTACATCCTACTGAATCAACTGCAGATAGAGCTTATGACTTTTTGTAATTAAATTCGTTTGCTCGAGATATTCAGACGGTTCACTACGTCTGAAATGAAATGACCGGTGCTGACGATGAGCTAGTACTCCGAAACCAGTCTATTGGTGATCAACCCGATCGAATGAAATCAACTTGCGACGAATCTTCCGAATGGAAGATGTTGAATAGGTACCTGATGGTTTTACTTCAGCTGTGCTGCATTATCTGTGTTAGTTGTTGTTTTTCCGTCGGGTATCTGTCATACGTAGGTACGTACAAAATCGAAGGTTCACATGACAGGCAAAGGTGAGGTGATTTCACCTGTACTCACATACACCTGTACTTTATTTATATACAGGACGTTTTTTTTTAACTTATACCACTATTGCTATCTCGGAAACGGTAGGTCCTACAAGTACGGTTGAATGAAACGAAATTTGCCTTCTTAGGGATGCAACATAATGGTATTCTCAGGTTGACAAAAATCACTTACCGTTTCTGAGATATTTGTAAACAACTGAAAATGACATTTTTTTCTTCTCTACAACCTCCATTTTCGATAATATCAAAAAGTGACAGGGAAAATTTTTGCTTCAATTCATGTTTTCCATGATATGTTTCAACACATTTTCCAATGCGATGTTTTGTTCATTCAAATTCATCATCATTTTATTTTTTCAAATACCTGTATATTTTTTCACACCTTTTAGCAATCATTGTGATTTTGAATTCATTGATGTATTACAACATATGTATTTTTTGATGTTTCTTCCAAAACACACTTCAAATCAAAATTCCATCATCAACTTTTTGTCAATGAAAAATCAATTTTCTAAATATCGTTGCAAGCACATAGTTAATAATATCGTAATACACAACATTGAATAATAAACAGTTGCGAAATTGTATGTAACGGAATAGAATAGAAAATGAACATCATAACGGAATGCCTCACGTTACATTCAATGTGATATCGCGTCTCACGCGATATCACATTGAATGTTCAAATTGCCTTCCAACATTTCTAAAAGAAATACTCGATCTAGAAATAGTGTGCCTGTAGTAGTTCTCTAACATCTGTAGAGTGATAGCCATGCAGGTTCTTCTGTCAATTTCTCAGTACAACGAGAAATCTAAAAGTTGAAGATCCAGTGAACGTGGTGTCCCTTCGATAGGATCATTATATCCTATCCGTCTTCCTGACATAGTTGTATTGAGTAAATCTCGTCCCGTCGTGTTGGAAATACTCATATTTTTTCATCAAGCTAAGTGGCAAAACTTTTAAAGACTCAATTAGAGTCCCTAATAAAAAGTCCAAATATAATTCTCCGGCCAGAGATGCTTCAAAAAGTGGAGGCCAATAATTTCATTATCAAGAACACCACGCGATACGATTGGTAACTCTATATAAATATCCATTTTTTTGTTGCCAGTGATAATTCGCCAGTGATTATTCCTGTTGAACCATCCGTTTTTAGTAAATCTACTTTCACCACACCTCAATTTTTTTGCAAATTTCATAATTTTGACGAAATTTTCTAATGAGCCATTTACAAAAAACTGTTCACTGGTTTGTTCGTGTGGAATATCGGCTCTCCATACCACGTGGCCGTTTTCCATCCTTCGACATTTGCCATCAGTTTGGTCTCTTCATCCCTATTTCTACGAAGCTGTTTCAAGTATTCTCGGTCTCTTTCTGCGAGTATCATTGGGTATATCGCTAAGCTAGCGCAACGCATTTCTAGTTCTCGGTTTTTTACTGCTTGTAATTGAGAGCATACAGGCGGCTACTGATGTCATGACCAGGTAGCCTTCGATGATTGCCTTGCCTCCAAAAATTGTTCTGGCTGGCACTCTTTCATAGACAAATTTTTCGTAATCTTCAGGAGGAGGCATTTTCTGTCGAAATTTGGCCCCCGCTGCAGCCGTTTTATTTATTGAAACAGTTTTTATTGTTGATTTCTGGTTCGTTTTACTTGAATTTATCTTTCTTTAAAATTTTCCGTACAGACGTAGTGGATATGGCCGAATTATGAGCAATCTCCCTTAACGATACTTTTCTGTTCTCAACTTCTTTATTTTTCACAAATTCTAAATCAAAAGAATGTCACATTATCATTTATGTGAATCTTTTTTGAACTCACCTAAAACTGATTTTATTATCGTCACCACATTCAGTAACCATAAATTTTCTTTTGGGGGGTTTTTCAAAGAATCCATAATTTCATAAATTATTTTCGATACGTTAAAAATATCTTTGATTAGGTTGTCGTCGTTCAGAATACATTATGTGATACATTTCCAGAGATTTGGTAACATTACTTGAATGAATAAAAGCATATCCACTTTTTTGTCATTGGAAAAATTCATGTTTTTCCTTAGAATCACTCACCAAATTGAATAAATTTCATTTTGTTCGACCATTAACTTGGCAGTCACATTCATCTATTTCATGGCTTACTTCAAAAAAAAAGAATTATCGCTCATCATGTTTCTCCTGTATATCGTCTATGATTTTTTTGATACAGTATTTTTATCAGTTGATTCTTGTTGATATTCTCATTCTCTGAACAGAACTATTTGGGTAGCTACAAATTTTCAAGAGACATTTGGTAATTATGAATGGCTTTGTACTGGTAAAAAATTTATTGGTCTCTCCTTTCCAAGACAACCCTTACAGATATCTATTTGGATTTCATTAAATATAAATATTTAGGATCTCAACGAACGACATCACCGAAGGAAGAATTCTGTTTGGATTTTAGTAACATTCGGAAATTCGAGGTCTTAATGAAAAAATTATAGAATATTGATGATGTGTTTTCGGGAAAAACGTTGAGAAATACATATGTTATGATATATCAATGAATTCGTAATTAAAATGACTATCAAAATGTATAAAAAATATACAGGTTCATATTTGAAAAAAATATGGAGGTGGCAGAGCAAAAAAATAAAATCCGTCATTATCAGTTTTTTGAAAATATCTCGAAGAAAGTTGGTGGTTTCATCGAGCTGAAAATACCATTGAGTTGCATTCCTACAAAGGCAACTTTTGTTCCATTCAACCGTTCGAGATAACAATAGTGGTATCAGCTCTAAACAACGGCCTGTATATTTTTCATTCTTCGATGAAAATCAATATCAATCTGCTATTTTTGGTATTTTTCCTCAAAGATAAAGCATATATGAATGCATGAAAACATAAACATACACTCAAAAACCTACCTTACAGCTTTGACCCTATGCCACAGACCATCATGAACGGTAGTCGTGTTGTGCACCACTCTAATTTCTTCCCCTCGTTCTCTCATGCTGAACCTTACTACTAGGGCGCCATTTTCCAACCCCAACGTGAGAAAATCTTCACCGGAGAATGCACAGAGAAGTAGTCCCACTTGCGAAGAGGATTTGAAACGAACATTTACCACGAGAGGGTCTGAGGATATTGCGTCTAGAGTTGAAACGTCGTTCAGGTGGATATAGCTGTTGGAGCCGTGAAAAGAGGGTGGACCGCTTGAACACAGGTGGTCTCTGTAACCTGGTTTGCATCTGAGAAACAGAAATTATATTTATCATGTTGTATTGAAGGTATCATTCCTCCATCAAGAAGCTACTGAAAAATTTCATTGTTAATTAGAAATTACCACCCCTGCCAGGTAACGTTCCAAATTGGCATTATCATTCGAAACAGAGTGGAAACAAACTGATTGCTATGTATTTGTGTAGTTTGAAAAATTGGTTTGTGCTTAAAGGAGAGGCCGTGTGTAAGGCGATATACAGTGTGTAAAAGCCAAATGGAATAAATTCATTATTTCCGTTACGGTACATATTTTAACAAAATCCCGAAACCCGTCAAATTTAAATTATAATTTGACATACTTCAACGGAAAAATGGTACCCCTACCCCCGTTGAATGACAGGTACCACCCCGATTTTTTTTAAATGGGAAGGATGGGCTTGTGATATATCGTTTCAAAGGTCTCTTCATTCTCTATAAAAAAATATTATCGCTATCGAATTCATTGCAACAATCAAGATAAAACGAATCAAAATCATATGGTTACCGAAATTCGGTAAAATGCACCTAAAACTTATTGCAATATACTCAAAACTTATTTCATGTTGAGGTATTGATAATAAGAAAGTGAGACTAAACCATAGCAATGTTCTTTTTAGCTGTTATCCTTTGAAAAACTGTGAATAATTTCCGTGGCAACGTTAGTTTAAAACGCCATGTCAACTTGTTTTGTATGTTACAACGTTAGTCGTCAGTTCGGTAACTTGAAGTCTGACAAATGGCTAGATTTACGAAAATGCAAACAAATGATTAATAACGGAGATAAAACCCGAACACAACAGGAAGTAGCTTGCCTATATGATGAGAAATTCACTAATTTACCGCCCATATCTCAAGGCACAATAAGCAAAATAGAGAAGCAGTTTCACGAGCTTGGTCATGTGGAGCAGATAAAAAAAACAGCTCCCAGTGCAATAAGTGATGAACTCAAATTAGATGTGATGCTTGAGTTGCAGAAAAACCCACATACATCGGGTAGACAGTCATACGCTACATTCAATGTTAGCCATACATCGATAGTTAACATATTAAAAGAAAATAAAATGCATTCCTAAAAAATGCTACCTACTCAGGAGCTCATGAAAGACGATTTTGGTAGGAAAAATTATTTTTTTGAGCAAATGATGGACATGTTGTATGACAATATCATCCAATTAGTAGACGTGAAGTTTTCTATTCCAAGTTTAGCAAATTTATATTCTGACCCAGAAAACCTCCAAGTTCCAGTGAATACGATATGGTTTCAGCAGGATGGAGCATCACCATATCACCAAGTTAATATCCGGCAATACCTCAATACAACTTTCCCCGATCTGTGGATAGGGAGGCGAGGATCGATTGAATAACCAGCGCGATCATCTGATCTTTCATCATTAGATTTCTTTTCATGGGGATATGTAAAGAGCCATATGTACAAAACTGAATCTTCAAATTTAAATGACTCAAAAGAACGAAAAACGCTTGCGATTAGGTCGATCACGCCTGATTTGTTAAATAATGTTAGAAGACTAGAAGAAGATTAGGATGTTGCCATGACGTCCGCGGTGAACATCTACTTCGTTAACGTCCATAGTTCTTTTTCATATATAACATTTCATTACGTTTTGCATTACATTTTAGTTTTGAGTGTATTTTTTCGAATTTCGGTAACCACATGATTTTAATTTATCTTATATTAATTGTTGCAACAAACTTTGAAGCGATAACATTTTTGAATAGAAAATGAAGAGACCTTTCAAACGATATGTCACAAACCTATACTTCCCATTAAAAAATTTGGAGGTTGTACCTGTCATTAGAAGGGGATTGGAGGTAGTGGTGGCATTTTTACGTTGAAAAATGTCAAATTATAATTTACATTTGACGTGTGTCGGGGTTTTTTCAAATATATACAGTAACCGAAATGATGAATTTATTCCATTTGGCATTTACACACTGTATAAATATGTAAAGTGGAATACTTGACAAATAGACAAATTTGCGCATTGTATCTGAAAAGTTCTGCTCTGAAATATCCTTCTCATGAGACAAAATTGAATTTGGGATTCCAGACAACATATGTTATTAACTGGAAACGTAAATGCAGTGATAAATCTGGCCAACCGTCAAACATGTTGTTGCTGTAAGCAAGTTAGCTTCAAACATCCCCTTTTGATGTTGACTTTCTTCCCTGCAATGAAGAATTAGAGCAACTGAGCTGTACAGATATCAAGCAAATATTTGGGCAAAAAAGTGAAGTGGTAGCCCTTCATACTCTCTGAAAGGGCTATTGACTTTTTTCAGTTTCAAATCAAGAGACGTGTCACAATCCAGTCAAATGAGAAAGTTGGGAAAGCTGATAAGAGTTTACTATCGAAGTAAAAGTGTTGCATTCCAACATATATATTTATTTTTACAATATGTGATTGAGTAATATTATAATTTTCGGAAAAACCATTATCAATCTTTTCCAATTTTTGTGAGAATGCGGTGAAGGAGCGAAAGTTATATTCATTT